TCTCACCACCCCCCGCGCTTCTGACTGTACCCAGTGCGTGTATAAACAAAACAAACAAACAAACAAATAAATAAAAAAACATGCCTCTATAAAAAAATAATAATAAAAAAAGGAATTTAAAGATAATAGTTGGTGGGCCTCCCCGGTGGCTCAATGGGTTGAGTGCCACGTTGTGAAGCTGTCTAAAGCCTCTGCAGCGCTGGTTTGATTCCCGGCTGGCCAGGGAGAAACCCACATGGTGCAGCAGACCTCTCCTGCCGCCCTCTGCTCCCCTCAGCAGTGTCTTCGGTCCATTCACTTGTTCTGCTTCCCGTTCTGTCTCTGGTGAATTCTCTCACCCTCCCGTGCCTCTGACCTGTACCCCAGTTCTTGTATAAATAATCTTTAAAAAAATAAAACAAAGATAATTGGGGGGCTTCCCTGATGGCACAAGGGTTAAGACGCAGCACTATGAAGCTATCCGCAGCCACTGCAGCATGAGTTAAGGAAGTCCTTCCAAGGAGGTGACCCTTGTCTCACATGCTGCTCCCCTCAGCAGTGTATTTCAGTAGATCTGCCTATTTTGCTCCCCACTCTGTCTCTGGTGAATCCTCTCACCCACGCATCTCTGGCCTGCACCCCAGCTCTTGTATGCATAAATAAATAAATAAATCTTTAAAAAATAGTAATAATAGTTGGGCCTCCCTCGTGGTGCAAATGGTTAAGTCTCAGCACTATGAAGCTATCCACAGCCACTGCAGCACGAGTTCAATCCCTGGCCAGGGAGCTACCCACATGGCGCAGCAGACCTCTCCTGTCTCGCCCGCTGCTCCCCTCAGCAGTGTATTTCAGTAGATCTGCCTGTTCCGCTTCCCATTCTGTCTATGAAGAATCCTCTCACCACCCGACCCCCCACACCTCTGGCCTGTACCCCAGCTTTTGTATGCGTAAATAAATAAAATAAACCTTAAAAAAAGAATGGGGGGGTATGAGACACCCAGCCTCCAGGGCAATTTCACTTCTGCTTGTACATGTGCTGGGGAGCTGAGGTTCAGGGGGGCTGGTTTCCCTAGGTCACGCATGGTGTGCTCTGGGGTCCTGTGAGATTCCTGGCAAGTCTCCCCTCCTGCCACCGTCTGGTACCGCTCTCCTGGCAAGTTTGCTGCCAGGACCTCTTAAGTTGGGCTGCTGCCCAGAGTGATGGTCAGATCAGGGTGAGACTCTGATCTGTTCAGAGCTTTTCTGATTCTGGTTTTGGGTGATGATTTAAAGAGATGGTCTCCGCAAGTTCTTGACAAAGAGCTCATCTTCCCTGGTTTTAGTTCTTCCCTTAGGAGCCTCAGCAGGACTTGGAGGAACACTCAAAGCATTTCCCAGAGGAGGTTAGGGAAGGGATTCTGCACAGAAGTGGGCTAGAGCCACTGCCCCCCACACCTGAAGGAACAAGGGGAGGGGGCACCTTAGCAAACCTGGTGAGAGCAGTACTGCGGATGCAGGCCACCCACCAGGAGCTGTTTTTGGTGGGGTGGAAGTGGCCAAATCACAAAGGAAGGGGAGCACAAATATCCTGAACTCACTCAGTTCCTTCCCTCTGATATGCCAGTGTCCTCTATTGGCTAAACTCCACCTGGAGCCATAAGGCAAGGGGACCCAGGTGAGACTGACAGCGGGAGTTGGCTGCAGGACACACGGTAGGGCAGGGGAGCATGAGATTGGAGATCAGCAGAGTAGCTGGCCCAGGGGCTTCTGGTCTCCTTCTGGGCCCAGCTTTGTGGAGCAGCTGAAAGACAGTGGCTGTGCGTGTCTTTCAAAGCAGTCAGAGCCTGACATGGCAACTGCCTTTCTCTTCCTTCCAGGCCCAGTTGACCCTCATCCAGGAGGCTGACCCCTGTACTGGAGCTAATCCCCCCCATCCTGGTTTCCCTGGTTTTCAATGCCTATTCTCTGTGTGGGTTTGTTTCCCAGGGAGACAGTTCTAGCATCCTCTACTGTGAGTTCTTTGCAATCATGGACATGGGCCAAATAAGGCCATTTGCTGCGACACAGGGCCTGGCATGGACCAAGTGCCAATGTTTGCCAAGTGAACTGAGTCTTATGTCCTCACTTATCTTGCTCTACCTTGGTATATACAACTGGGTGCATGTGGGTATCTGTCTCCCAGAGTACATGGGGCTCATGGCTAGGGAATAACAAAGAATAGGCATCAGGGCCTCCCCACGGGCACAAGGGGTTGAGCATGGCGCCATGAAGCTATCCGCAGCCTCTGTAGCATGATTTCAATCCCCAGCCGGCCCGAGAGATACCCACATGGTGCAGCAGACCTCTCCTGTCTCACCTGCTGCTCCCTTTAGCAGTGTATTTCGGTCAATCTGCCTGTTTTGTTTCCCACTCTGTCTCTGGTGAATCCTCTCACCCCCCACACCTCTGGCCTGTACCCAGTTCTTGTATGCATAGATAGATGTTTTTTTTTTAAAAGAGGGGCCTCCCTGGTGGCGCAAGGGGTTAAGATACAACCTGTGAAGCTGTCCACAGTCACTGCAGCATGAGTTAGATCCCCAGCCAGGGAGCTACCCACATGGTACAACAGACCTCTCCTGACTTGCCCACTGCTCCCCTCAGCAGTGTATTTCAGTAGATCCACCTGTTCTGCTCCCCACTCTGTCTCTGGTGAATCCTCTCACCGCCCCCTCCCCACACCTCTAGCCTGTACCCTAGTTCTTGTATGCATAAATAAATAAATCTTTAAAAAAAAAAAAACAGGCATTAAATGTCTGAACTGGCCTTGGTAGGGCCATCCTTCATTCAATCGTTTAACAATTGTTTTTGAGATCCTATGACATGCCAAGTCCTGTGGACGCAGCAGTGAACAAGACACACAGTCCCTGCCCTTGTGGGGCTTCTATTCTAGTGGGAGAAGAAAGGAAGAAGTGAGAGTAAACTAGATTTGTAGATTGTGATAAGCTCTGTACAGAAAATAAAGATGAAGGGGTAAACAGTAAATGTGTGGACGTTATGAGGATGGGGACACATCAGGGAAGGCTTTCTGAGGACACCTATGAGACATGTAAGCTGAGACCTGAGGAAGAATAGAAACTAGGAGGTGAAGATCTGGGAAGGGTGTTCTAGGCAGAGGAAACAGTAAGAAGAAAGGCTTAGAGATGGGAGAGTTTCTGGCACTGCGGGGGCCTGTTTCAGCCTAAAGGCCTTAGGGGGAAGTTAAGAGGGGCTAAGGAAGTCAATCTTGGGGACTCCCAGGATCAGCTCCTGGCTTGGGGGATTGGAGGTTTGGGGGATTGGATGCCACCTTCTTAATGCCACCCTTGTTGCCTGTTGCCTAGCACCCACAGCAAACAGTGCTGCTGGCAGTCCCTGGCCCTTCCTCCCTCAGCTCCCCTCTGACTGGCAGCAGCTGTCAAATGACCAGCAGCTGAGGCTTTGCCAACCTCCTCCCCTGGAATATTTCAGGGGTAAGTCAGAAAATAACCAGCAGCCTCCAAAACCCGACTTTTTCTCCCGTATACCTTACAAGGGTGTATTGGGCTGCCCTGGGTGTTAATCTCGCACCCCCTTGTTTAGACAGAGAGATATAAATACACAGCCTCAGGCAGCACACTAAGATACATGGATTAATGAACACAAGGTCAGGCCCTGTCACAGAGGACCCTCCATAGTGAAATGTCTGCTTATGAGCCCCACAACCACACTCACACTTACCAGCAGCCCCCAGTCACTCACAAGCACACAATCTCACCCAAGACCACTCATAGGCACACAATCCCACACAGGACCACACACATGTAGGGTCCCAACTGGTGGCCACACAGACACTCTCCAGACCAAATGATCAGCACACACAATTGCTCCCACAATTGTACAATCATACATCCGCATGCCCACACACAGATATGCAATCCACAGCCATCACACAGGACTGCGCCGGCACACAATCCCACATTGTCCCCCTCCACAACCTGCCGAGGGGCACATACATACAGCTGACAGTGGGCACACTGATCACAACACACAACCCACACATATCTAGTAGGGTGAAAGGGTGACCCTGCCCCCACCCCGACTCACCAGGCCTCTGATTAAGCACACACCAAGCCCCTGACTCGTGAGATGCACCGCATTCTTCTGGGATGGAGTCAAAGAACTTCCCAGACAGAAAGCTAAGCGGGGAAAGACATCAGAAGGGAAAGTGCCGAGGCCCAGATCTGGGCAGGCGCCCCTCGAGCCCCAACTTTCAGCTCTGAAGTCTGGCCCTGGTGGCTAAAGCCGTGGGGGAGGGGCGTGCCTCGGGCGGGATGACAGGTGGCAGTGAGACCCCAGGACACCTCCCGAGTGGAGGCACGGAGCGGAGTTGAACGTGGACCCAGTCTCCTGGGCCTGAGTCCCTCCCACGTCCTTCCCTAACCCAGGACCAGCTCCCGGGCTCGCAGCGTCCCCGACGCGCAAGGTGCGGCCTTCATCCCCCTCCCCCACCTTCGCGACAGCTGCGGGCCGCGCTCCCCCCACGGCGCGGGTGGGGATCCCGGGCGCCGAGCGCGGTCAGCACACCCCGACTCTTGCCGGGCGGGCGATGCTGAGTCCCTCTTCCAGTCCCCCCAACAGCCGCCTCCCCCCCCCCCCCCGGGGAGAGGGCAGTGGGGGAGGACGTGCCCTCCTGCGGCTGCAGAGCCTCCCCCCCACCCGGCCTCCACTCACACCCCCGCCCCCGGAGCTGGCGCCCTGGGGGGAAAGGTGGAAAGAAAGAAGGTTCGGGAAGCTCTCGGCCAGCGGGTTTGGGAGACGCCCGCGAGCACCCCACCCCCGCCGGCAGGTCCCGGGAGGGGCGGCTCTCCCCGCCCCGGGCCGCGCACCGCTCCCTCCTCCCGCGGGCAGGAGCCGGGCCAAGTGGGCGCGCCCGGCCCGGGCCGCGGGATCCGGTGTCGGCTGCAGCTGGCGGTGCGGCGGGCGCGGCGGGCGGCCCGCGGGGCTGGCTATTAATAACGCGGCCGCCGAGCCCGGGTCGCGCAGCCATGGCCAGCCCGGAGCCCCGGCGCGGCGGGGACGGCGCCGCCCAGGCCGCGAGGTAGGACGGTCCAGGGCCCGTGTCGCCTCCCCCTTGGGGAGGGGGTGCGGGATGGTTCCCTTCCCCCACCGCGAGCACCTTTCGCCGGGCTGGGGGCAGTGGTCCTGTCTCGGGGTGGGGCACCGGGCGGAGCCACCAGGCGGAGGGAAATCGGGGAGCTGAAGACCCAGGGTGCTGCCACCTCCGTTTGTCTGTGACTTTTTATAATATCCCCCCTCAGTCCCCGGCCTGTGGGAGCATTAACCCTTTCAGACTAGCGGGCATCAATAGTCAAATGCCATTTGGCCCATAATGGCCAAAGATGCCCCTAGTTTTCTTTCATTCCTCACCCCAAATGTCAAGTGGAGATGGAGGCCTCCAGTTGCTGAATTGTCTGAGGGGAAGACACTTGGTGCAAGCTGGACTTGTGCCAGGTTGGAGTTAAGAGTCTGTTCAGGCAGCCTGTTCTCTCCTGCCTGGGTCTGGGCTGGGTGGGGGAGGGCAACTGTCCATGACCAGCAGGAGGGCCTGGGCTTGGCAGGGCCCTGAGCAGAGGCCCACTCCCATCCCTCCACACTGTCACCTTAACCACTGGTTAAGGGAAGGGACCTGTGGCTGACCGGCTTGGGGTGAGGGGGGAGTATTTCAGTCCCAAGTCACTGTGGCCCTGGGACTTCTCAATATACCAAGAGGTGGAGGTGCAAATAACACACCCCACACCCCTTCACTGTCACATGTGGCACCCAGCTGAGCAGAGTCTTACACTCACCTACAGGGCCAGACACACACCAGCTCAGGCCTGCACTGTGTCACAGACACCCGCAGCCACAGTCCTGAGGAGGAGTTGGGAGTGACTGGAGTCCTCTGGGGACAAGGACAGAGTGGCAGAGGCAGGCTGCAGGGGCTCAGGAGCCTGTGGGCAGGAGTCACAATTGAGCTGCCTCTCTTGCCCCTCGGCCTCCCATAATTTACTTTCCCCCCAGCTCCTTCAGGAGAGGCAACTGTGTGAGGGCAGCATCTCGCAGAGACCTGGCACTGCGGCTGGGGTGGCTGAGGCAACACCGTGTGTGGTGACAGAGCCTGAAGTCAGGAGGCCTGAGTTCTACTTCCAGCTTTGCCACTCGACCTTGGGCGTTTCCTCCTTGGATCCCAGTCGGGTTCTGCCTGCCATCCCCAGAGCCCCACCCTGCGATCTGGAGAGAATAACTATACTTGTTCCGAGGAAACCCCCTGTCAGGGCAGACAGACCTCACACTTCTGTCTTGCATAGCACCTCGTGTGAAGGTGAGGTGCACACCAAGAGCTGGGAGAACACAAGACTGCAGGTTTTCTGGAAAATACTTCACCAAGGAGATGAGGTTTGGGAAGGACTTGAAGGATAAATAGAAATTTTTCAGGTAAATAGAAATATATTTTGGATGCCATGTACCAAGCTCTGCTGTACATGCCAAGGTCATTTTCTGCTTGTAGATCTCGTGGGTACCCTAAGAGGAGACCAGCAAATAGGAGCTCCCACTCTGAGGCTACACTGTCCACTAGTCCAGGATGCATCACTTAGGAATTACGGAACCTCTGTTTGTACGTGGGTTTCCTCGTCTATGAAATGAGGATAGTAAGGGAGCACAATATAGATAAGCCTTCATGGAAAATGCTTAGGACAGCTGCCGAAGTATAAAGCTGTACACCTGAAACTTATGCAATATAATACATCAATGTTCCATCAACTAAAAACAATTTTAAAACAAAAAATAAAAGGCTTAGACTACTGCCGGGGCAGTTAGGTGACAGCAGAGTGGGGAGCTCGCAGGAGCACGATGTGCGGGTTGTCTGCTGGGAAAGCAGGGGCTCTGCTGAGTATCAAGAGGGACTCTGGCTCACCGAGCAGGTGCATCCTTCCTGCCGCCAGGAGCTCTGCCTCTGGCAGCACAAGGCTGTTCTCTAGTCAGGGGTACACTGACCTGTATTTTCTCAGCTGGATCTGCTAGACACTGTGGGCTAGGAACAGGAGGTATATAAAGTTACCATATGTTTTGGATTGTCAAGCACCGGGGCCTACTGTGAGATGAGGCTAAAAAGGTATGTTGGGGCCACGTCTTCAAAGGCCTTGAATCTATATGAAGCCGTTGGTTCCCTGTGGGTGAAGTGAAGAAAGATGCCTTACTTGGTGTTGTAACAAGCCAGCAGCTGTAGCTAGAGAATAGACTGGGCTGAGGAGGAAGGAGGAGGAGATGGTGTATTGGAAGGCTGGTACAGAAATGCAGGTAACAGATGCCTTGGACTAGGGCCCTGGCAGTGGGATGGACATGTTTTTCTGAGATACAAAGGTCAGTTTTCGGCTGACTATACAGGGGAAGAGAGGGAAAGTGGTCTGAAAATTCTTTGCTTAGGCAACCTGGTGTATGGTGATGTGTTTCTCTGAGCTGGAGAATACAGATACAAGCTGGGGGAGGATGATTAGGGGGCAGTTGAGTTTGAGGTGCCAAGCAACATCAGGTAACCATATCAGAAAGTAGTTCCTTTCTAGTAAAGTGACATGAACCCACTAGATGATTACTGAAGTTGTCTTCAAACTTTTTTTGGTGTAGATGCTGGGTTACATGAGGCCGCTTTCCAGAGGGTCACCATGAGATGAAGAAAGGGAAGCCAGGGTTTCTTGGATATTAGGGAGGAGGACAGAGTACAAAATAATTTAGAATAGAAATAATCTATGGGGCCTCCCTGGTGGCTCAGGGATTAAAGACAGCACTATCAAGCTATCGCAGCCACTGCAGCACAAGTTCGATCCCAGCCCACCAGGGAGCAATCCACATGATGCAGCAGACCTCTCCTGTCTCGCCTGCTGCTCCCCTCAGCAGTTTATTTCAGTCAGTCTGCCTGTTCTGCTCCCCACTCTCTCTGGTGAATCCTCTCACCCCTGTACCTCTGGCTTACACCCCAGTTCTTGTACACATAAATAAATAAATCTTTAAAAATAATAATCTTTGTTGGGAATTTGGAGTTAAGATATAGAGCTTAACACCTGGACACAAGTAGGCTTGAGCAAATTACTTAGTCTCAGCTTCCTGACCTGTAAAATGGGGAAAATACATATAACTACCTCATAGAATTATGAGGATAAAATGAGTTGATAAGTGTGAGTATTTAGAATAGGGGCCGGTATATACAAAACCTCGGTAAATGTAATTTATCATGATTTTTTTTTTTTAAAGATTTATTTATTTATTTATTTATTTATACAAGCACTGGGTACAGTCAGAAGTGCGGGAGGGTGAGAGGATTCACCAGAGCCAGAGTGGGGAACAGAACAGGCAGAGTGACGAAATACACTGCTGAGGGGAGCAGTGGGCGCAACAGGAGAGGTCTGCACACCATGTGGGACCCTCGCCGGTGGCCTGGGATCAAACCAGCGCTGCAGAGGCTGCGGGCAGCTTCACAGCCCAGTGCTCAACCACTGTGCCATCAGGGGAGGCCCGTAATTTATCATGATTTACACAGTATTTTATGTTGCCAAGGAATTGCCCAGAGATCCAAGGTAGGTAAGACACATTTGAAACAGGAAAGATGAGGGCCTCCCTGGTGGCACAGGAGTTAAAGACAGAGCTATCAAGCTATCCCTATCCTCTGCAGCACAAGTTCGATCCCCCACATGGTACAGCAGACCTCTCCTGCCTCCTCCACTGCTCCCCTCAGCAGTACATTTAAGTAGATCCATCTGTTCTGCTCCCCACTCTGTCTCTGGTGAATCCTCTCACCCTCTGTACCTCTGGCCTATATACCAGTTCTTGTATGCATAAATAAATAAATCTTAGGGCCTCTCTGGTGGCGCAAGAGGTTAAGACGCAACCTATGAAGCTGTCCACAGCTGCTGTAGCACAAGTTTGATCCCCAGCCAGGGAGCAATCCACATGGCACAACAGACCTCTCCTGTCTTGCCCGCTGCTCCCCTCAGCAGTGTATTTCAGGCAATCTGCCTGTTCTGTTTCCCACTCTGTCTCTGGTGAATCCTTTCACCGCCCACACCTCTGGCCTGCACCCCAGTTCTTATATGCATAAATAAATCTTTAAAAAAAAAGAAATCTTAAAAAAAATAAAGAACTTACATAAAAAATAAGTTAGATTCTAGAAAGAACCAAATCTAGGTAAAAATTGCAGCAAAGGCTTACCTCAATAGTAGAATTTTCTCGTGGCCATGGGAACAAATAGTGGTGGCTCGGGTGTGCATTTCCTGTCCTTAGGGTAAGCAGAGACAAGACATTGGCATTGTGGGCATATCATCAGGGGAGCTAAGCAATGGGCTCTACGGGGACAGATCAATGGAAAGGAGGGAGCAGACCCATGCCCTCTGAGAAGTGAGAACCTGATGTAATCTAGGCTTGTGGTCTAATGGCTCCTATCACCCACCATTCTGGGATTGTGGCTGCCCTCTTACTTTAAATCATTTCTTTTGCAGGGAAACACGAGCAGAGGCCGATTCTCTCCTTCAGCAGAACCCTGAGTCCATGAATGAGGCAGGGACCGTCAACCCTGAAGTTACTCTATCTTTTGAAGGAAACTTGAACTTGGAGGACATTCTCTATCTGGGGGACACAGATGACCTAGATGAGACATGGTATGTGGAAGAGACTGAGAAGCCTGGGGATACACTGTTTATTGAGGAGACCAGGCCGCCAGAGGAGGCTCTGTACGTGGAAGAACCCGTGAAGCCAGAGGAGACACCATTTGTGGAGGAGACTGTGAAGCCAGAGGAGATCGAGTTTGTGGAGAAGACACAGCATCGGGAGGAGACCGTGATGCCAGAGGAGACACAGTGTGTGGAGAAGACACGGCATGGGGAGGAGACCGTGAAGCCAGAGGAGACACTGTGTGTGGAGGAGACACAGGGTGTGGAGGAGGCTGGGAAGCTGAAGGAGACACTGTGTGTGGAAGAGACACAGCATGGGGAGAAGACTGTGAAGTGCGAGGAGATGGAGTCTGTAGAGGAGACTGTGAAGCCAGAGGAGACAGAGAATGCAGAGGAGACCGTGAAGCAGGAGACACAGGGTGGGGAGACCGTGAAGCCAGAGGAGACACAGCATGGGGAGAAGACTGTGAAGCCAGAGGAGACACAGCATGGGGAGGAGACCATGAAGCCAGGGGAGACAGAGAACACAGAGGAGACAGTGAAGCCAGAGGAGACACTGTGTGTGGAGGAGACACAGCATGGGGAGGAGACTGTGAAGCCAGAGAAGCAGTGTGTGGAAGAACCTGTGAAGCCAGAAGAGACCACAAGCCCAGAGAAGATTGTTTATGGGGGAGAGACGGCCACGAGCATGGAGGAAACTACCCCTGAGGAGAACCTCAGAACGGGGCCTAGCCCCAGCACTGAGGAGAGCCTGAGCATAGAGGACCTAGAGTTGCTCGAGGGTCGTTTTCAGGAGTGTATCCAAGCTGTGTCCCAGCTGGAAGAGGAGCGGGATCACCTCGTCCACGAGCTGGTGTTGCTCCGGGAACCAGCCCTACAGGAGGTGCAGCAAGTCCATCAGGACATCCTGACTGCCTACAAACTGCAGGCCCAAGCAGAGCTAGAGAGGGATGGATTAAGGGAGGAGATCCGGCTGGTCAAGCAGAAGCTGTTCAAAGTGACAAAGGAATGTGTGGCTTATCAATACCAGCTGGAGTGCCGCCAGCAGGATGTGGCCCAGTTTGCCGATTTCCGGGAAGTGCTGACTACTCGAGCGGCCCAGTTGTCAGAGGAACTGGCCCAGCTCAAGGACACCTACCTGAAACAGAAAGAGCAGTTACAGCAACAACTAGAGACACCTCCCAGTCAGAGCAATGGGCACTTGCTCCAGGAGAGCCGACGGCTCTCTGCCCAGTTTGAGAACCTCATGGCAGAGAACCGTCAGGGCCTGGAGGAAGAGTATGAACCTCAGCTGGTACGGCTCCTAGAGAGGAAAGAAGCTGCAGCCAAAGCGCTACAGAAAACCCAGGCTGAGATCCAGGAGATGAAGGAGGCTCTAAGACCACTGCAGGCAGAGGCCCAGCAGCTCCACTTGCAAAACAGAAACCTGGAGGACCAGATCACGCTTGTGAGGCAAAAACGTGATGAGGAGGTGCAGCAGTACAGGGTAGGCCCGCTGGGCAGGAGCGGAAGTGTGGTGTTTGAGCCTGGGGAAGGAAATGGTGACTGGTGTCAAGTGGTTTTTGGGTTGAGGATATGATCATATCCTCAAGAGTAAGTTATTCTTGGGGCCATTCACTCACTATTCACTTCATTCATTTAGGCCCGTGCTAGGGGTCGAGTCATCTGTACTCTGTACACACAGCGTGCTTGTACCAATTATCTCATTTGCTCCTCTCATTAGTTCTTTAAGTATTATTTTTTTAATAGATGAGGCAACTGAAGCTGAGTAAGAGTAATTTGACCCCTGGTCTGACCAGACCCAAACATTTTGGTGCTCTTTCCCAATTCTCAGTGACTTACACTTGGATTTATATAGAGCAGATTCATTCTCTCCCCTCCCCCAAGTCCACCCTCAAATCCCACTCATCTAATCTGTCTTGAAGTTTTCACCTTAATCTATAAATCTCTTCCTCATTTTGCTTTTTGGTGCATTTGTCACCATTTCACTTATATTCATGCTATTTTTGAGTAAGGACGAGCCAGTTCTCATCTCTTTTCAGAACAGAGTGGAGTATAAATATTAAGTGAATAAACAATTATGCCTCTCCCCCCCAGACTCAACTTCTGAAGTTTAGGGAGTGTTTTCCTTATCTCTGCCACTCAGGCTGCGTGCACATCAGCTAAGTGCTCAGGCAGTGAGGCCAAAATGTGGTGCCTTTCAGAGCAGTATTCTTCCCTTTTGAAACACTCATTATTCCTTTGGTCGTAACACTAAATGATTTTAAACTCTATATACATGTACTCTCCCCCACCCCATACCCTTTTTGTTGGTTCACAAGCTATTGGAAGGGCACTTACTGGTTTGATTTTTTTAAATAAATATTCTTAAATATTACATTTATAATTACAATTATGAATGTTAAAATCCAGGGGAGAAATAACATGTAACTTGAGAGGTACACGTTAAGAGTCACATGGAATAAATCAAAGCTTCATGGAAGAAGAGATCTTATTTGAGCTGGTATAGGCAATATCTAGACCAGTTTTAATCAACAGAAATAGAATACAAGCTATGTAATTTTAAAAAATGTCTAATAACCACATTAAGTAAGAGAAATAGGTGGAGGTAGTTTTATTTAACTCAACATACTCATAATTAGTAACTTGGCTACATGTGAAAGGTGCAAAGCTGAGAGTTGAACTATAAAGGTAGGTCAGAGTAGATCATATCAGACTTTGAAATCCAAAGTTAGGGAGTTTGTACTTCAGTCAGTCAGTTGCATCAATAGAGGTACTTAAATCCAGGAAGTAACATGATTGTCTCTAACTTCAGAAAAAGTACTAGTGGCAGTGTATATACAACGAGCTAGAGACCCAGAGACCTTGCTGGGGAGACATTAGGAAGCTACTGTAGCTAAGAGGAAACAATGACAATGGAATAAAAGGAAGGGAGAGAATGCTAGAACAAATGCAGAATAAATCTATTATTAAATGAATGGGTCAGACAGGTAAGAAATCAGAGGATGTTGAGATTCAGGCAAGGCTGGTGGTGCCATAAATAGGGAATTCTTTGAATTATAGTTTTCTGAGATAGAATTTTCCTTGGTGATTTTCATCACTATACTGGATTTATTTCAGATTTGATCATCTTTCCATGAAAAACACTTTTGATGAGTGTCTCCTATTGCTATACCATAAAGTTGGAATCAAGGTCTAAGGAGGTAACTTGATTACTTTTCAAGGGTATACTTCACTCTTGTTGTACACTTTTCTTTTTATCATCATCATCTTTGTTGTTCAGTCAAAAACTTTTTTTTTTTTTTAAGATTTTTATTTATTTATACAAGAACCAGGGTACAGGCCAGATGCCCGGGAGGACTCACCAGAGATAGAGCGGGGAGCAGAAAGGCAGACTGACAAAACTCAACAAATATTTTCTAAGTTTCAACTTTCTAAGTACCACACAGTGAATTATGTGCTGGCATGAGAGGAGAAATGGAGGATGGAGAGGTTCCTGCCCTCAAGCACATTACAGTCCAGGAAGGATACCAGATAAATTGAACATAAGGTGTTTCAGCAGAGCCTTGAAGAAGAAATTCATTAGACAGGCTAAGGGAAAATAATTCCAGGCAGAGGGAAGTTATAGAAAAGTATAAGAACTCTTATGGGAAGTGAGCTCTTGGCTAGGTAAGAAATATAAGTAGAGGTGAGACTAAAGAGGTTAATTGGGACCAGATTGTAAAGGGCATTATATATTTTTTAGGCCAGTAGTTTTAAAAAAATGGTTTTCTTCACAGCCACAGACCCTTTTTTCCAAACAGAATTTTAAATGAAATGCCAGCATCTAAAACAGCATTCGAATTTGGTCTCTTCCCTGGGGTTTCATGGAAAAGTTTAAAGACTAGTAAGGAATGTATGGATGTGAAAGCAATAAAGCAGTTGAGTATGAGTTCTGGGGGCCTCTCTGGTGGCGCAAGGGATTAAGTCTCAGCACTATGAAGCTATAGGCAGCCACTGCAGCCCAGGGAGCTGACCCACATGGCACAGCAGATCTCTTCTGTCTCACCCACTGCTCCCCTCAGCAGTGCATTCAGTACATCTGCCTGGCCTGTTCTGCTCCCCACTCTGTCTGGTGAATCCTCTCACCACCCCACACTCTGGCCTACACTCTAGCTCTTATATGCAAAAATAAACAAATCTTTAAAAAAAAAAAAAAAAAGGTATGAGCTCTAAGCCACTGTCAAGCCCTGGCTTTACCACTTCCTAACTTGGAAACTGTGGACAAATGACTTAACCTTTGGCTCAGTTCCCTCACATGTAAAATGGGATTAGTAACCATAAGGCTATTGCAAGGAATGAACTAGTTACTATTTGTGGAGCAGTGCCTGGCATATAGGCATAGACTCTGAAGTGGCAGTGTTGATTGAAATAGCCTGGAAAGACTAAAGACTGAGAAAATGAGACATGGGTGGTAAAATTGGTAGAAATTGGTGACTGGTTGCAGAGGTGGGGTGAGCAATTTGCTGAGAATGTCAGTTTTTAGCTTGACATTGGTAGACTAATGCTGAAATATGGATATGCTTGCTATCTTTTCTTTTCCCATGTAGAACTGGGTGTAGGCCAGAGGTCCAGGGGCGTGAGAGGATTCACCTGGGACTGTATGGGGAACAGAACCAGATCTACTGAAATACACTGCTGCAGGGAGCAGTGGGTGAGACAGGAGAGGTCTGCTGTGCATATGGGTTAGCTCCCTGGCCACAGTGGTGATAGCGCTGACTCAACACCTAGATGACCAGGGAGACCCTTGCTCTTGGTGCTTCACATTAGCAGGCATGATTTGTAGGATGCTGGGCATGCTAAGAACCAGGAACCTCCTAATTGGAGGTAAAAAATTAAGAAGATATATAATAGAATGTAGATTTAGGCGACGTAAGTGGCAGGAGCAAAGGCAGAGGTATGGGTCAAACTAGAGCCTACAGCAGCACTGTCTGGAAGTTACCATGCAAGCCAGATACAAAAGGTGAAATTAATATTTCACCCAGCATGTGTAAGTATATCATTCCGACATCTGAGGTATTTGGCTTTTTTTCCCCGATGCGGTCTTAGCAATTGGCTGTTTCTTACACTTACATCTCAGTTAGTACTAGTCATATTCCAATACTCAGTAGCCAAATATGGCTAGTGGCTTCCATACTGGACAGTGCAGACTAGTGGAAAACATTCATGATGAGTAATGGAGGTCTAGATAAAGGTTATGGCAGGGATTGGGGTGGTGGGTGTGAAACTAGAGGGATGCTGAAATGTCAGACTAAAGAAAATGGAAAGCCTTTGAAAGATTAAAAGCAGTTTATAGAAAGTTAATCTAGTGGCACTACACAGGATGAAGACTGAATGCCAGTGACTTAACAATTTTTCTCTTCCTTCTGATACCTCCTCCCTGACAGTCTATCACTGATGGGGCAGACTGCCTTCCCAAGCATGTACTTTTGTGCTTCACCAATTTAACAGGCTTGCTAAGTGAGGCTTGGGGAACTGGGACACAGATGTATGATGAGGTTTCCCTTCAGATGACACTCTTAGGTAAAGCTCACCTACCTCTGTGTGTGCTGCTAGAGCTAGGCACTAAAAAAAGGCCCTTTGACACTTTATTCAAGTTGAAATTCGGCAAGAGAATCAAACACTGTAGACTGATGTGCCACAGGTATATCGAGGATGACTCAGAGAACAAATTATTTAGAGCCTTCTAATAATAGCATGTACCCAAACTGGATTCCTATCTAGTTATTCTTCAAAATCCAAGGTGAAGTCATTGCCCCTTTAAAATAGACCTTCCAACTTCAACCCTCCCTTTCCCAATTCCGACTTCCAAAGGATCCATGCCAGCCAGAGACTGATTGCTGGCATCTTCCTTACCTCACTCTTCAGGCAGAGACAATTTACATATGACGTTATGGTAAATACTAAGTGGAGATTATCTGACTTCAAGAAGATTAAAATACAAAACTGTATTTATATTGTTTTCCTCAATCTTCTATGAACTTCTATAAACTGAACTCTCCTAGAATTCTATTAATATTTAATATTGCTTCCTCAGGGCTTCCCCGGTGGCGCAGCGGTTGAGCGCTGGGTTGCGAAGCTGCCCGCGGCCTCTGCGGCGCCGGTTCGATCCCCGGCTGCTCCCCGGCCACCGGAGGAGGGTCCCACATGGCGTGCAGACCTCTCCTGCCGCCCGCTGCTCCCCTCAGCAGTGTACTTTGGTCCTTCTGCCTGCTCTGCTCCCCGCTCTGGTGAATTCTCTCACCCTCCCGCGCTTCTGACTGTACCCAGTGCATGTATAAACAAAACAAACAAATAAATAAAAACATGCCTCTATTAAAAAAAAATAAATAAAAGAAAAAAAAATATTGCTTCCTCAAAGACTTGGTTTCTTAGGACATTATAAAAACTATCGTAACAGAAACAAACCTGCACAAAGAGCAAGAATTTTAACTAGATGAATAGCATCCCCTAACACTTTAAAACTCTGAAACTAAAGGTCCCTAAGTCCCTGCCCACCTTTTCCAGCATTCTATTAAGCTGTGATTAACAGATAAGCCTCCTTTCAAAAGCAATGTCATTTGGTCAAAACAACCTCTTAGAATCTGCTTCTTAATCTCAATACTGCTATCAAGGTTTAAAATGTACAAGAAAAGTACTTTATAGATAATAGACAAGTCAAGCTTTCACTGTCTCATTAGAAATGTTCTTGGCCCCTCTCATATAGGAACAGCTGGAAGAAATGGAAGAACGACAGAGGCAATTAAAAAGTGGGGTGCAACTCCAGGAACAGAAGAACAAAGAGATGGAGCAGCTAAGGATCAGCCTTGCTGAAGAGCTTGCAACTTATAAGTCAGTTTTGGTTGCTACCCAAATCTCACCTAACACCGGCTGAGGGGGTGGTAGGGAGGGTAGATAGTGCTCATTTAACAGCGACAAAGATGTCTTGGCAAACAATTATGTTCATCCATGGACAGATGGAAAATGGCTCTCTTTTCTTAAAGGGCTAAACTACCCAAGAGCCCGGAACAGGCTAAAGATCCCACTCCTCAGGCAGGTGGAATTGAGACACCATCTCAAGGTGATCTTTGTGGGTAACAAGAGTGTTGTTTGCATTGTTATTGCTTTCCTAACAATACTAATGCCTTAAAAAAATATTAAGTGTGTAACAAATAACAAGTCTAATGGCAAAGAAGTCATTTACGGAATAACACATCTCCAAGCATTCGGGATTCATTTAGAATGCTTCAATTTCTGGGACTCAAAATATGTCCTAGTTATCACCAGGAATTCTGTAAACAGGATGAAACATCTAAGCCCTGTGCATTCCTTACTTTCCTCACCCTTCCCCACCCCATTTGTTCTTCATAGTTTTCTTGGAATAGCAGACAAGGCAGTTATGCTACCTCAGACTGGCAAAGGAGGCGAAGGCTAAATTAATCTATAACCATAATTTAAAAAATACTGGAGGGTGGTGTTTATAGGCCAAGGAATGGGGTATAACTTATGTGAATTAAGAAACACACTTGGCCCATTAACTTTATATACCAATATGTTCTCATATTCTTTAAGTCCTATATTCTCTTAGATAAGGAAAACTAGGAATACAAAGGTCTGTGTCAAGTTATATACTAGACAAGTTATAGACAATAATAAATTTTTATTAATTTCCTAGTCAGTCTTACATCTTGGATATAAATTCACAAATAACTGTTAATTGAAACATTTCTTCACTTGCTAGGACTTTCTATCACTGTTTATGTAGGCTTAACTTATTTTATACTTACTATTTGGGAAAGTCATTCCTCATTATATGCAAATCAGACTCTATTTCTTCCCCAACATAGAATGCACTAACAAACTTGAAATTGAGTGTTAAACTTTATGCTTTGTTATTTCAAGTAACAGAAAGTATGAACTTATTCTTTTTTCTCTCAACCTTACAGGGGCTGTTTAGAAATGTATGGCCGAATATGTAACCCAGAAACAACAAAAAAACCTTCTTAACAAAGGATCACTAAATACCACATACTTTTTTTTCCAAATAGAGAAGGGAGTGCCAGGGAATTGGCAAGCAGTTCCTCGGGAAAGTTACAAGTATTGGCTGACCTGTTTTAAAAAGATTCTAGGCCTGGCTGGAGGCAGAACAGCACCAGTCTGCTCTTAGTTGGATACTATTTCATAGACTGCAGTACTGATCTCAATGCAGAGAAATGGAAAAATGAGTGTCCTGTGCAGCAGCAGCAGCAACAATCCTCACGTGCACACCGAGTAAAGGATCCTTGCAGTGTTGTGAAGATGTATCTTGACTGGTATTGACACAAACCAAAAACGTTTTTTGGAGTACAGGAGGAATCAAAAAAAGGCAACCAATTTTTATCACATAGGTTTACAATTTGAATCTTTTCATAAAATGAGTGTTAAGACTTTGAATGAATCTTTTTACAGCATTTACTTTTAAGTCTAAATTGACTTATAGTTTACTTATAACTCATGATAACTTTCATAATTCTCTAAAAGAGTTACTGACTTGGAAAAAAGGAACCAACCCAGATTCGAACCTAAAAGCTAACTAAGGATATTCAGATTTCCCCAAAGATCTTACATCATGAAAATGACTTTGGGTCTGCAGGATCCACTCAGTTAAATCAAATGTGAAGGAACCAGGCATTTTACCTGGTTATGGCACTTGTATAAAGCCTATTATTTCTAACTTCTACGTACAGCCCCCAGTAAAAAATATACTGGGGAGACTCAACCTTTGTGAGAAAAGGTTCAAACACCTTTTGAAAAATGAAATTTTTGCCTTAAATTCTCTCTGCCACACTGCCTTTGATGTTCTCGAAAGTCCACGTAGTCCTCTAGAGAGATCAACTTCAAAGAGATGGTTATCAAAGACTAATCCATGTACCTCTGATTCACTGTTCTTATGTTTTTCACTTCCTGGGAAGGAGTAAAAACTCTTTTCTATTGCTCTGAGTCTATTACATTTAATTCTGCTCTTGAATGTCAAAGACCATAGAAAACAACTGTGACCTGAACAACTCTTCTAGAAGCCAGTGACTGGTGTTTGATGGATATTATATATTAAATAAAGCCCATCAGCATGGGGTTATGTAGAAAAGCAATTTATTCCATTGTAAGCACTTACACAAGTTAGTCATGGAGAGTAACAGGCCTGTTGGCAAAACAGGTCACCCAAACAGAGATGGTATCAAACTAGTGGTAAAGGACTAACTTCTATTTAAAAAAAAAAAAAAAAAGAAAAAAAAAAAGCAACTCATCCAGGATTAATTTAATTTTAAAAACAAATACAAGCTATCAATTCACTCTTCTCAACTTAACTGGACAGTCTACCTGTGGTATAACTGTCAGGTAAAAACATACATCTTTACAACTTGGTGGTCCCAAGTTTTGTTTTTTTTTTTTTTTTTTTAAAAAAAAAAAAAACCCATTTCACAGAAAGGAAAGAAATATGCAAACAGCTCAAGAAATACACTAACAAGCAAAAATATATGGGAAAAGAAGAACACATAGCTATGACTCAACTGAAGAAACTGAGAAAATGGTCTACATAGAAAAATGTGCATCCTGAAAAGTCAGGTCTGAAGATTTTAGAGTAGGAATTTATGACTCAAATCTCCCCCATTTCCTGAATAAAAAGAACATCTTGCAGTCTTTGTATTTCATGGCTCAGACACCTACCTCACTTATACCTTACTCACTCTAACCTCTATTTAAATGAGTCTGAAAAACTTGGGGATATAGAAGAAAAATAACCATACACAACATTCCCCTTTCTGTGGCTACTTTAGATCTTTGTTACTAGAAAATTCCTGAAGAAAATTTAAATATAAGTCTGTGGCTTTGCTGAATCAAGTCCTCCAGTTAATATTTAGAAAATACCCTCTTGTTTGAGCTAATAACATTGTTGAAGGTACCTAATGCAGAGGGTTAGCCGAACAAGTCTGAGTCTCAAAACCAGTGTTAAATCAATCTCAGGGTTGAGAGGAAAGAAGGGGAGTCTAAAATCACAAGAAGTACAGACAAATCTAGGACCCTTGTCCTTCTGGATCCACACTTCCTTCAGGGTCTTCATCATTATAAATGTTCTCTGCCTGCCCAAAAACAAGAAAAAGAGAAAGAGTGTTTAGCAAACCTAAGTTTTTTGAAGCTAAGGTTTCAAAATATATTAGACCAGGGAGACAGATTGTGAGCCTGACAGTCTAACTGAAGTATATAGTTTGTCTGGATAATCAACCATGAGTCCTTCTCCAGACATTTTATTTATAATTGTCAAAAACCTTTATAAGCAACACCAATGTTTACAAAGTGATGAATAAATAAAATACACACACTAGTATTACTTTGGCAATGTGTCAGTAACATTGTATGGCTGCATTCATAGTTATGTCTAGACTAGGCAAATTCGTAGACAAAAGTTGACTGGTATTGCCTCATGTTGGGTGGAATGGAGGAATATGGGTATAACCAATGAGTAGGGGGCTCTCATTTTTGGGTAAATATAGTGATGGTTGCACAAGTTTGTGAAACTACTAAAACCACTGAATTGTACATTAAACAAAGGGAACTTCCCCATCAACAAAAAACATGTTACAAATCTCAATTTACTTATATAATATATTTGAGAGATTTGTTTTGTTTATTTGTGCATACAAGAGCTGGGGTATAGGCCAGGGATGCGGTGGGGATGTGTGTGTATGAGAGGGTTCACCAGAGACAGAATGGGGAGCAGAACAGGCGGACTGACTGAGATACACTGCTGAAGTGAGCAGCGGGAGAAACAGGAGAGGGCTGCTGCACCTCCGTGGGTCAGGGACTGCTACAGTGGCTGCCGATAGCTTCATAGTGCACAGACTTAAGCCCTTGTGCTACCAGGGAGTCCCCCAATTTATTTTTATATATATATATATATATATATATATATATATATATATATATATATATATAAAGATTTATTTATTTTATTTATACAAGCACTGGGTACAGTCAGAAGCACGGGAGGGTAAGAGAATTCACCAGAGCCAGAGCGGGGAACAGAACAGGCAGACTGATGAAATACACTGCAGAGGGGAGCACCAGGCACGGCAGGAGAGGTCTGTGCACCATATGGGACTCTTGTTGGAGGCCGGGGATGGAACCGGCGCTGCAGAGGCTGCGGGTAGCTTTGCAGCCCAGCACTCAACCACTGAGCCACCAGGGGAGGCCCTCAATTTATATATATATATTTTTTTAAATAGAGGCATGTTTTATTTATTTATTTATTTATTTGTTTGTTTGTTTATACATGCACTGGGTACAGTCAGAAGCGCAGGAGGGTGAGAGAATTCACCAGAGCCAGAGCAGGGAGCAGAGCAGGCAGGAGGACCGAAGTACACTGCTGAGGGGAGCAGCGGGCGGTGGCAGAAGAGGTCTGCGCGCCATGCAGGACCCTCCTCCGGTGGCCGGGGAGCAGCCGGGGATCAAACCAGCGCGGCAGAGGCTGCGGGCAGCTTAGCAACCCAGCGCTCAACTGCTGCGCCACCAGGGAAGCCCCTCAATTTATATTTTTAAAAGAAAAACTGCTTTTGCATAAAATAAGTCCTACTTCTACTTCTTATGAAACACCTATACCCAAAGGCATAATCTTATATACAAAAACCATTTTTATACTGTTCTCAGCATCTGTCACATCTGTGCAGAAGTCACTAGCCTAGATGCCGCAGTGGATGGGATAGTCTTGTCTTCAAAGCTCTTATAATTTGACTATAGTGGTATGAAATATACACAACTGTGGTATCTTTTTCCCCGACGCCAATTTTCTAATTCTCCTACACTAACGGGGTCCTCAAGAATTCAGTTCAATCCTGACACTATGTGCCACAGTTCCGGCACAGATAAACTCCCTATATAGAAACTCATCAACAAATCAATGGTGTTTTTTAAAGTTTTCATATAGAGAGGTCCACAGCCCCTACCCCATTTACAGGTGGAATGAGACTGAAAGTTCTGTCTCTCTAAATCAAGAGTCTGGCCTTCATGGAGACCAGCCCCACCATGACACTAAATAGGGGTTCCTTTTTAAGTAGCAAAAGAGA